GTTGACAATGGTGTAAATGTGGATACTATAAAACTATGTCATTTGCACCTATGCAACTATGAAATAGAAGAATTAAACATTGCCAAAGGTATTAGAAATTAAGCTACATTCTTCAAAGTATAAATTATTGTATGCGGTATTAAAAATAATAATAGTAATCAATTATTTGTACATTATGGCTGTAAAACTATTTTGTACATTAAGTAAACTAGTTTTTAAGTGTAAAGTGTTTTTTTTAAATATCAGAAGTACATAACAGTGCAAAGAAGTTTATTGACTGGTTGCGTTAAATGTCACTAAAAAGTATTTATTTAAGCTGTGTTTCCTAATATTACTTTTTTGGCATTATGTTCTGTTATTTTTTTAAAAAGTATATCAGTGTACTGTGCCTTAAATGGGATAAGTTAGGGTATTTAGCTGAGTAGTAGTATATCCTCTCAAATGTTCCAACATAAGAAAGCTTTGATGCAGACATAGAGGTGGGTTTTACTTGCTTGTTTTGAGGATGATACCCCAATGAGGGTTTCTATGAATTAGCGTTAAAACATTTGAAATGTCACATACTAGTAACCACATACCAGAGTATTGAATACTTATAACGGTCAAATGTTGCAACAACGTAGAAAAATAACGGTCATTCATTATATGACAAGAATCTGGTGTTATACTTCATAATTTTTAATTTTATTCAACGGTTATATATTTTTATTCTCTTTCTTTAAGTAATTCTGCACATACTTTTCCTTATTATAACATGCTTTTGTTGCTTTTTATAATACTGCTAGTTGTTGTTTGATTTATGTCTAATAATTTGTTTTTAATATTATGTTAACTGATTTATCACACTATCCTTACCACAATGATGGCAATCATTATAGTTATATTGCAAAATATGTTGGTGAAATTATGACAATTACACCGATAATAAATTCAACAATACATTCTCTGCCAGACCTGTTTTATTACACTGCCAAGCCTTAAATTATGCGATATAAAATTTCTGCCAAGGCTGTTTTGTGTGGTTTTATTCTCACTGCCAAGGCTAGATATCAACATTTCAATAAATAACATTTTTTCTATTAAACATAATTTAAAAGGATTTTTTATTCTGAATATAAAGGAGAAAAAAAATCTCTTTTTCTGTTAACATATGAAAACATATGTTAACAGAAAAAACATACATATGTGGCACATTAAGAGGTGATTGTAAATTGAATCAAAACAGCTAAGTTAAAAAAGGAAGGAGAAGCAGGGAAGGTGTAATTGTGGCTAAATGGAAAGATAGAAGAGACGTTCTAATGATTAGCAACATGCATTCATTAGAGATGGTTGAAGTGACGAATAGAAGAGGTGTAAAGAAACTTAAACCCAATATAATTCGAGATTATAATAAAGGTATGTCAGGATTTGATCGAGCTGATCAAATAGTATCTTATTATGACTGTCTTAGAAAAACCACTAGATGGTATAAAAAAGTAGCTATTCATATTTTCGATATATTTGTATTTAATGCTTACTGTCTTAACTGCAAGTATGGAACAGATAAAGCAATCTCCTTGCTTAAATTTCGGGAAATAATTGTTACCAATTTATTGGGTGAGCACTTAAAGAAACATTGATTCCTCGAGTTAACAATAAAAAGCTTCATTATTTGGCTGCTATACCACCAAATGAAGTGAAAAAAATTGCCCACAAAACCTTGTTGTATTTGTTATACAAAAAAACATAAGGAAACACGTGTTGTGTCAATCAATACGTTGTATGTGAAAAAAAGCCTCTGTTATGTGTTGGTTATTTTAAAAACCTTTTATTTTACATGGTATGTTTTAAAATATACCATGTAAAATAAAAGTTTTTTAAAATAATTTTCAAGAAAAAAAACTTAATACTAAACATATAATACTTCAAGTTTGTTATATCTTTATCCTGATTTGTATAAAACACAGGAAGTTTATGAAGTACAAGTCTATAACTTAGTTATTTCTAAAATCTATTTTAAAGTTAAAAAAAAGATATATGAATCAACATAGCTAAACATTGATAAAATTAAATTAATATGTTAGATAAAATTAAATTAATATGTAATATTATTTAATTAAATTAATATGTAATATGTTTTAAATTAATATGTTAGTTGAGCTACGAGTATTCTCATAGTTGGCCATTTTTTTACGCACGCATTCTACAAGTATTCTCATAGTTGGCCAAAAAATAGCGTTTTTTTACTACAAGTATACTCCTAGTTGGCCAAAAAATAGCGTTTTTTTACTATGAGTATACTCGTAATTAGCCAAAATATAGTGTTTTTTTACTACAAGTATATTCGTTGTTGGCAGCGAACATGTTAATCTCAGTGGTGCATACTCGTGGTTTCCTGACAGCAAATGCCACCCAAATCTTTCGAAGGGCTACTAGAAATAGTGTTTTGATGCAATTGAGTTGCCTGGCCAAGCAACTTTTTAAATAGGTTCATTTTTTAACGTATTACCTATATTTAAATTACTCATTATTTAAATTGATTTTTTTGCCGCACTTTGCATTTCCACATTTAGCAACGTTTTTGCCGCTTAAGGTAAATTTGTTCTTTTGTTTTCAAAAGACTATTACTTTTTATCAATGAAATATTTTTGATAATTACTTTTTAATCTAAAGTAACAATAAAGCAACATTTTAAATATGTTATAAAAGAAGGAAAATAAATTGTTGAAATTTATTTTCCTTCTTTTCTATTAACTTACATCTTTCTGTTTAAATTAGAACACTTGTTTTCATTTTTTCGTGATTAGGTTGAGGTTATCATGTGATTATAATCACCCTATTCAGAATGGTAGAAGCCATGAAATTTTTTTTTATATAAATTTTTTTTTCAATGTAAATATTTTTAACGCTGCTTTTTGTTTTTAAGTACCTAATTGAGCGTCAGTAACTAATAAATTATTGTTAATTAGTAAATCTTTAAATATAATGTTTTAAGCATTAAATAGATGAATAGATAATTTGCGATGTCATTGTATGTTTATATTGTATTTAGGTTTATAAGTATGTCAAATTTTAGCAATAATAAATAAACGACATAAATTCTGTATAAAAGTTATCTATACTTTATTTTTGTTTGGCAGTTAGTTTACGCAGGTTTTATAGAATTCAAATTTAAAAGTCAAAAAGTAAAAAAGTGATTAAGATAAATTTTTACATTACTTAACATTATGTTGTTGCTTAAACAATTTTAAACACATTTAAGCATTTTTATTATCTTCTTAACAACTTTTTGGTTCTTTTAAATCCACTTCTTTGCGTTATCTCTTAAATCTTTTATAACAATTTTTTAAGTGATATAATTGTTCAATCTCTCATACAACTAACCTTACCACTTTCTCTCATAACCTAACTGAACAACAGCCTATTGCAAATCAATTTTTAATTCAAAAAAAATTCCACTAAACCTAGTAAATTAAGTTGAATGTAAAACAAATATTTCCAATAAACCAAATAAATTAATTAAATTGTATATAAGTTAAATATAAAACAAGCAGCTGCACCACACCGCGCGCACACACACATCGTAAACACTTTAAATATAAACAAAAACTTTTAAAATAATTTTAAACAACCGTATAAAATTAAAATAAGTATAAACTACAAAAATAATTAATAACTTCACTAAACCGTATAACCTAAAAAAATAAATTTTTTTTTATATATAACGAGTATTTGCAGTAAACTGTACTGGTTAAAACTAAATATAAACTAAATACTTAAATTCCATCTTTCTTTCTCTTGATAACCTCCTATAACACTGAACATCTGTTCAAAATAGTTTATCTAGAACACTAATACTATTTCTAATATAGTCAATCACTTCTTTTGTCTCAAGCGTTTATGGCTAAATATGTTCCACTAGTGACTAAACTTGTTCTTGTTTGGCGATTTTTATATAGAGATAACAGTTAGTCAAATATCCCAATATTAGTCAATATTGGCAATAGACAAGCTTAAAATATATCTAAAATAAATTTTGTTCATATTTTTAATGCGAAATATATTTTTTTTGAAATGCAAAATCATATTTTTTGACAAAAATTCAAAAAAAGAATAACTATAGAAATTATTTAGTAATTTATAATGAAAAAAAAAAAAAAAAATTTCTAAAATAATAAGTAACTAAACAAATTTTTTAGTAAAAAAAAAGTTCTATAATTTGAAGGAAAAAATAATTTTTAGATTTCTTATTAAAATTCTAAAATAATGTTGTATACTAAAAGCCTTTGGAATTAAATGCACTTGAATAAATTATAAAGTCTGTAGATTATGTCATATATTTTGAAGACTTGAAAAACATTCGAACATAGAGACAATGAGCTTCGAGTAAAACTACTAAGTTAGTTTTTCTTAGGATACATTTATTATTTTGTTTTAATCAAAAAAGTAAAGCCCAAACATTATTTTTAAATGTTGTCTTTAATAAAAACACAACTTGTCTTGGTACTTTGAGATCTCTTTACTTTTTGGTAAAAACATTTAATAAAATAAAATTAGAATTGTGACTTATTGTATTGTAAAGTGATTTTTTTTTAAACTTTTTGTAATAAAAATTGTAGTTCTTGAGTAAGAACCAAATTGCTAATATAAATTTTAAAAGTGTTTTTAAAAATGTTTTATTGGTTGAATGTTTAACATTCAATATTCAATATAAGAATATTGTGGATGGTTCGGATAGGTTGAAATATTAAAGTGGATGCATTTAAGTGATTTTTTGAATAAATTAGATCTGTACTTTTTGTTAGATCTTTACTTTTTATGTTTTTAATTATATGAATTTAATTCATCTTAACTATCAAAAGGTATCAAAAATGTTTTTTTTTTTTAATATTTAAAAATCATATTTAAAGCTTAAAATTATCTTTAGCATGTTTATAGTTCTGTTAGCCATGTTTATAGTTTTAGAAATTGTTTATTGTTAATTATATAGTTTTAACAATTAAAACATGTTTATATTTTAGATGCAAAATGAATTGTCTTGAAAAAATAAATCCTAATTCAAAGCTTACTTTTGAATCAGTGCTAATAAATAAGGAAAGCTGTAATCTGGAAAAGCAGTCCACGACTAAATTTAATTGGGCAATTCTACAAAAGTCTGACATCCAACAAAATTTGTACGAAGATGTTACTCTGAATTTTTTTGATCAATCGTTTACAGGGTTTCAACAGCAAAATTTGGTTTTGATGGCTAATGCTCTTTCTTATGGTAAGACATAATGGAAATTGTCTTTTCATAGACTATCTAATAATTTAAAGGCAAATTTAACTGCAAACATCATAACAATTATTTTTTTTTTTTTAAAGTTGTGTTTAAATGAAAAATATGTTTCATACCAATTTGGTATGAATTTCTGAATATAAGTTAAAGGGCTTTAAACAACACATTTATACACATAGTATTATACACATAGTATAATAATAATAATAATAATAATAATAATAATAATAATAATAATAATAATAATAATAATAATAATAATAATAATAATAATAATAGTAATAATAATAATAATAATAATAATAATAATAGTAATAATAATAATAATAATAATAATAATAATAATAGTAATAATAATAATAATAATAATAGTAATTATAATAATAATAATAATAATAATAATAATAATAATAATAATAATAGTAATAATAATAATAATAATAATAATAATAATAATAATAATAATAATAATAATAATAGTAATAATTGGAATACTTTGGCTTTATGGCAACTATATTATTTCACATAGAAATAATATAGTTGCCATAAAGCCAAAATATTATTATTATTATTATTATTATTATTATTATTATTAATTATTAATTATTGCTTCTTAATTCTTAATCTATTATTATTAGATATTTATTACTTGCGCAAAAAAACAGGTTTCCATCATTTTTCGCCTCAAACTGAATTATTTTAGATTTTCTTTGCAGATTATAACATATCTATTTCTTCACAACAAGTTTTAATATTTTTCTTTTAAAGGTACTTGGGATAAGTAGTTTTTCTGAATATTACCGATAGAAAAAGGTTGGTGAAGTAAATTGAAAAATAAAATAAGTAAAGTTTGTTAAAATTTTAGAGTGAAATTTGATTAGACAATATAATGGTTTTGATTTATAAGATTCTCCTTGCTTAGTCCTAGCTCCTTGACTTTTTCTTTCCCATTTTTTTTTTAATTTTTTTTATTTTATCAACTCAAGCTTCAACTTTTGTTTAAAAAAAATGATCCTGATTGGTTGTTTTATAAAAAAAAAAATTAAAAAAATGATCCTGATTGGTTGTTTTATAAAAAAAAAATTAAAAAAATGATCCTGATTGGTTTTATAGTTATATTTACTGTTTTTAATTACTTTCTTTACTGTACAAATGATTAAATGTATTTGTTCTGTAAAAGTTTTATTTGTACAGATTACTCCTACAAATTTAAGTTAACTGCTGTATGCGAAGGGCTTACAGTTGGTTCTACAGAAATCAATAAAGATTTAAATACTCCACCAGATGTATCTAATGCAAGCTGTAGCCTCAACCCACAAAATGGTTCTGCAATGGATACAGATTTTGAAATAAAATGTTTTGGAGTCAGAGACAATGATTTACCCTTAACATACAGTTACTTATATCGCTGTGGTGATAGTGATGCAGTATGGGAGGATTTGACACTTCCAAGTTCAGGTGAATTTTTATATAAAAATAATTTACTAATTAAGATTATTATTTAATTATTAATTAATTATTAATTATTATTTAATTATTAATTTCATTAATAATGACTCATCAAAATAAAATTTTATTTTTTTTCTAATGAGTCTTTATTGATGAAAGACTGTGTTAAATGAAAAATTTTTGATAGGTGATTTTTTACTAATTTATCTATGTTTTTTTAATAACTTTGTAGTTCTGTTCTTTTAAGAACATTGAACATTTTGCAGAAAATATATATATATATATATATATATATATATATATATATATATATATATATATATATATATATATATATATATATATATATATATATACATATATATACTATACATATAGGTGTATGGTTCTAGTTTTGGTCATGACATTAAATTGATATTATATTGAGACTAAGGCTCTGCAAATAAACACTTATAGATTTAATACAAGTATAGCATTGAAGCAGCATTTGATTGATAAGTCAAATCTTGAATTGAATCACTTGTTTAATGAAATCTGATTATAGTTTTTTTTCTATACTATATTTTGCAAAATTAGATGTTGTCATTTGAATAAATTCTTATTTTTATTAGTTTATTAGTTTAATTTTTTATTAGTTTAATTTTGATAGATTAACCACTTTGCTTTTGGAAAGGCTATTCTGCCCTACTAAGCCAAAAAGGCGCATCTCCATATTTCATAATTGTTAGATATTAAGTGTTTTACAAAGTTAAAAATGCACCTGCCTAAAAGTTTCTTTTTTTCTTAACAGTTTTCTGGATCATACTCAACTATATAAGTCTTTTTGGTTTAGTAAATATGTGCAGTACCCTTCATACTATATAATAATACCAATATCTCCTTTTTGAGAAAAAGTTAAGACACATGTTTTTTTTGGCTTCCTAGGAAAGTATTGCAATCAGTAGGGAAGCAGTCATTTTAAATTACTTCTCCCACAAAGTAGTGATCTGAAACAGAAAAAAAGCCGAAACCAAAATAAACTGAAATTTTGCCAAAATTGAAACCAACATTTTGGCAAATATTTTACTAAAACTGATATGGACATTTCAGCTAGTCAAATTTAATTTTATGAGAAAAATTATTTAAAAAAGCAATTTTTCAGTTGCTGTTTTTTTATCTGTGTATTAGGTTAAAATTGATTACAGATGTTTCAAAAATTAAGATTTAATTCATAAGTTGGCGATATAAGTTAATAGTGAAACTGGTTTTGATTTTTGCTACAAAACAAGAATTTTTCAAGGTATCTTGTAAAAATTCTAAAAACTTTAGTCCAAATTCTCAAAATATTTTGTGAAAATTCTCAAAAATAACATTTTTTCTTATTTAGATAAAAATTTTAAAATCTTACTAATTTTTTGGTTATGGTATGTTTTTCAGTCGAAATTTGCTTTTTACCGAATTTAAAAAAAGTACGGAAACCGAAATTTCAATATTGGTTCAAATTGAAATTTCTACGGAAGCCAATACTGAAACAGAAATTCAGTCAATAACTACCACACAGACTCTTATAAATGATTTGTGCAACAACAAGCAGATAGATTTTAGAATTGAACTTTAGATATCAAGTGGAAAATGATATATTTGTTCTTCCACTAGATAATAGGACAATCCAAACATCCCAATTGTTTTCTCTCAATTGTACACAGTATTTTAAACTTTTGACTGTTGATTTAAAGTTCTTCCTCTGATTGTGTATGATTGTTAGAGATGTGTAAACATTTAATCTAATGTTCTATTTGTTTCAGATTTAAAAAAAATCTCATTAGAAAACATAGTAATACTAATTTGTGCTTTTTTTCAGATGTCATTAAGCAAGTTTCCATAATTTGCAACTCTGCCAAGGTAAACATTGCTGATTTAAATCAATCATCTATGATGATAGCAGTAAGAAAAACGTTTTTGCTTTCTCAGCATAGTTAAGGAGAGATCCGGAAAAAAATATAGCGTTTAGGCCTTTTCGTTTTCAAAAAAAGCCATTTCATTTTGTATAATATTTGATTGATTTATTTTTGTTTAAAAATTATGAAGTTCGTTGTTTTATTTTGTTTACAAATATTCAGTGATTTTATTTCCTACATGTTTGAAGTTTTAGCTTAATACTATGGGGCAGAAGTTATATAAAAACTGAAGCGTTACTGTTTTTAGTTTAGGTTTTTAGTCATTTATTGAATATTTTAACGTTGAAAACATAAAGCCTTTTTACTTTTAAATAAAAAAGACATTTTTGGAATGTAAGTACTTAACACAATTGTTTCAGCTGTTTTTATGACGCTGCCCCGTCACATTTTGTGTATTTTAGTGTTAGTTTTGTTTTACTTGATGCTTTGGTTAAAAAAAGATTTATAAAAAAATAATAAATTGTAAAAGAAAAGCTTAAATTCTACTTTTTAAAAATATATAACAGTAATAGTCGAAAATAAGCGGAAAACAAAAAAATTGAAGTTTGAAAATGTAAATTTTATTTTTAAGAAATGCAAATCATTTGGATCTCTCCTTAACTACGCTGAGTTATTCAAACCTGATTTCTAACTGTGTAATAAGGTAATAAAAGTATTTACTTTAGGTAATTTCCCTTTTTTTATCCATTGAGCAAAGACAGTTTTTTGAAATTGTAATTCAGGAAAAATAAGCAAATGTTTACTCTTTTTTCCACATCACATTATCTACAGAATAGTTTTATCTACAGAAAAGTTTTATCTACAGAATAGTTTTACCTACTTTTATCTACAATAGTTTTACCTTCAGATAATTCATTTTAAATAGGAATGACTATTGTTAATAATTGTGCTTACTATGCTACTTAAATAGACAAGTTGGTGGCACTTCACTTCAACTTTCACGAAGTTCTTTTTACTGCGTATTCTAAACTATTATTATTAAGATATGGGATTTTCTACCTGATTATATTGTTTACTCAGCTACTTTGTTTTTGTTCAAATAAAAATCAAAATATTTTTTATATTTTGATTTGAATTTCAAATTTTGAAATAATTCAGATATATGATAACAGTATTAATAATAATAATAATAATAATAATAACAATAATAATAACATTATATACTTATAATATTATAAATATATATATATATTTATATATATTTATATATATGTATATATATATATATATATATATATATATATATATATATATATATATATATATATATATATATATATATATATATATATATATATATATATATATATATATATATATATATATATATATATTTCTTTCAAAAAATGTAATTTTTTTCAGTATATCCTCCAATAGTAGGAAAGTTAAAATTACCATGTAACGTATCTTCCGTTAGTAAAGATTGTCAAGTTAAAGTCATTGTAAAAGACAGTTATGGAATGTCCTCACAGCCTATATTTGGACCATCTATGATTGTTAATGTAACTTTTCAATTGTTTTTAAAGTTGATTTTTTTTTTTTTTTAATTTTTATATATATTTATACTATAGTAATGTCTGAATATTTAATATATTTAAATGTTTATATTAAAAATATGTTCAAATATTTGTATTAAAAATGATGTAATATTTATATTATATTTGTAAATTTGTAACGTTTTTTTTTAGTTATGATTAAATAATATTCTTTTAAAAAAAACTTTATAATTTATTATAAACATTTGAAAAATGATTCTTCATTATATAATTATGAATATAAATAAGCATTTATGAATATAAACAAGCATTTATGAATATAAATAAACATTTATGAACATAAATAAACATTTATGAACATAAATAAACATTTATGAACATAAATAAACATTTATGAACATAAATAAAATTATTTTCTTGTAAATATTATTTTCTCGGTACTTTTTTCAAACCTTTAGCCCACATATAACTTTATATTAGTTGTAATATAGAATTATACGTTGTCTAAACATTACCATTTTTTTTTTTTTAAAAGTTAAATTATATTAATTTTTTTCTTAGGTCAAATGTCCAGCTAGTATACATCCTCCTTCGAATGTACTTCGTAAGAAAAGAGGGATCAGTGGCGGTAAATTTTTTAAATTATATTTTATGCTAATTCACTTTTAATTTTTTTTTATAAATTCTTTTATAACATATTGTAATAAATTTGTTGAATAAAAATACTTAAAAAAATATTTTAATGTAATTTAACACATATATCTAACTTTATCCTTACAAATATTTACGTTTAAGTTTCATTACTAAGTTTAATTTAAATGTTCAACTTTTTTTATTATAAATTATTTTTCTTTATAATTTTTTTTTAGATGTCCCTTTGTGTGAAAAAATTAATGATACTAATATCAAGTATGACCAAGGATTATTGACTAATTACATGGCTGTGTTAAACAAAATGATTCCTTTCCTAAATCCAACTGATAAAGATTTTGTAAGTGATAAAGAAAAAAATTTTTAAATCTGTACATATTTAAAAAGTAAAAAAAGAGTTAAAAATAAACATGTAAAAATGCAAATTTTTGATATTTTGTTGACAACATTTTATAAAAACAAAATGATAATATGTAAGTTTTAAACTTTGTTATTCAATTTTTTTTGGAGATGTGGGGTGTGGGTCTAAAACTAATCAGCTTTATTTGTGTTCTGCAAAGATATTACTTAATAATAAATTTACAGTGAGGAGTGTTTCTGAATGTTGAATTAGGCAGTAGAAAAGTTGGTCTTGTCACTGTCAAACTTTCTATACTCATTATTTTAAAAGCTAAATAGTACTAATGCAAAGCTAAAACTGTAATAATGCAATGTTATCTGGAGTTGTAATGAGCTTTTATCAGTAATACAAAAATTAATTTCAGTAAAAATTATTTGACTTAGTACTTCACTTGTGTTAGTTGACTTAATTTTTTATTTTAACTAAAATTAGTTGCCTCTTTAATGTTAAATGTTTGTTTTTCTTTCTTTTTTTTTTTCGAAAGGAGAACATCTTCATCACCATCATTATTATCCACAACAACTATACTACAACATAGGTTATTGCTGGGTTTGATTTAAAAATAAAATTAATGAAAATTTTCAAATTTTTTGTTTACTTATAGTGTCAAAAAAATGTGCAAGAAAGTTTACGCCATGTAGAAGTTGATTCTCCAGATAGTGCTTTTATTCTGCTATCAAATATTGTTTTACCACCATCACCACCACCATCATCATCAACATCAAAAAATAGTAGTTCTACTCTATCAGCTGCTGAACAAAATAAAATTGAAAAAGCTAAAGCAGATGCAGCAGTAAGTTTCTTGATTTATAAATGTTTTTTTATTCTGTTGTTGATAGATCTCTGTAAAATTTCATTTATCTTCTTCACCAGTATACATAAGTACTGCTAGGTATATAATATTAGTATATTTCTTGTTTTTTTAATATGCTAACTAATATACAAACAACCTATGACACTGACTTTCTTTAATACTAGCTAGTTACAAGTCCACTACTGTATAACACTTTCTGTTCACCACCAACTATATTTAAAACTTGATTATGCCATAATAGAAACCAATAAAAATATTTAAAAAATTTTAATATTTCATTATTTGAACATTTCTTTTCTGAAGTAAAAAGACAGTAAACAAAAGGAATAAAATATAAAATATTTGATCAGAAATGAAATAAAATATTCATGTTTTTCACTTCAGTGTTAAAAAAATATTTGTAGTTGTTATTTTTATTTTCTTTTATTTAAATGTTGTCCATGTTTTATTTTTTTAAAGAATTTGTTCATTTTACTTTAAAATTACTAAAGATCACTGTGACACACACACTTTGTGTGTGTGTTTAATTTCATGTCTATCAGCCTTTGTGTGTTTTTAACACTGTTTTTCTAAAAAATAGATATTTTTAAAATCAAGAAAAAAGTTTTTATAATGCAAAATTCAAATAACAACAATAGAATAAGTTATGATGTTATAACACATAACAGATTAGGACTTGCAGAAGAATTAGGAAATAAAACCTAATCTCTTGATCTTGTTGAATTCAGTATGTGGGTATGTATGCCAGCTCTATTCAAAACAAGAGTTTAACAAGTTCTTTTTATTTTACAAATTTGGATATTTGAAGAACAGTATTTCATACATTTTATTTAAGCACTATTTACAGGGTTTTGTGACAAAGTTACCGTTAGACATTACATTATTAAATTAATTTCCATTTAACATCAGAGTTTAAACTTGCACCTTCTAATTTCCAAACATTCTCTGATAGCTTTGTGGTGTTTTCATACTTAAGAATATTAAATGATTTTAAATGGTTGGCATATCTATTTTTAAAAGATTCACATGTAGCAATTTAGAATTTATTGATGTGATAGTGTGAGCAGGATTATTGGATTACTTTTAATTCTGATTCACTACCAACAAAACTGAAAGTAACCTAAAAAACTGAAAAAGACCTGCATCAACCTTAGCAAAGGTTGATGCAGGTCTTTTTCAGTTTCAAAAAAAATAATCTAAGAAGATATAGAGAAGAGGACTCAATGAGTGGGTTGCTATTATTGCAATATTGCAATAGTTGTTTGGAGTAAATAACTGAGTTTTGTTGGTTTTTAAATTCATAAGTCACTGCAAGTCCTAATCGGTTACTATGAGAGGTTGCTAGTGAATGATAATCTAAAAAGATGTAGAGAAGAGGACTCAATGAGTGGGTTGCTATTATTGCAATATTGCAATAGTTGTATATATAAAACAACCTTATGGAGAAGACCAGCATGCCAAACTTTGTCAAAAGCTTTAGGTATGTCAAGAGCAATAGCCCTAACCTCGCTGCCTTTGTCTAATGCACAATATAATCTTTCAGTCACAGCAGTTAGCTGTAAAGCAAGAAGTTCAATAACTGTATTGATTATTTAACAGTAAGTTATTTGGATGGAATGTTAAAAATTTGTTGATCAAAGAATCCTGGTAAGCTTTAAGGTAGTACTAAGTGATCAGTTTGAAGAAGAAATATAAAGTGAAAGATTTAAGAGATCATTGCATGATTAGAATCACTTAAAGACAAGAAGAAAGGAAAAACTGAAAACAAGCTAGGGTCAGAGACAAGACACAAATCAAGGAGTTAAGGTAAGTTAATAGGGTTGTCTAGTAAACAACTCACAAATTTATCTACCTGAGTAAAAATTTAAAAATTGCAGATGTTATAGGCTTAGATCCCAGAAAGGTCAGTGATGTTTTTTTTTTTTAATTTTTAATTTTATTATTTAGTTGCCCCAAGAAGACCTAACAGTCTTGTCACAGAGCACTGTGGAAGTGCATTTAACCAGGAAAAAATATGTCTAAGGCTTGTATCAAACCTGGATCTCCTGCTTATAAAGCAAGCGCTTTAACCACTGCCACTAGCAGTGGTTAAAGTGCTTTAACCACTTTAACAATAAAGAACAAAGAGAAAGGTAATAGATTGAAGAAGTACTAAGTGGTAGCACATAAAAGAATGCGCAGAGGATTCAAATCTGATTTCTCAACAAATAGATGAAGTAATGCGTAAGTTTATCCCCTAGCCAAGCATGTGACTGTTGGAGTCTTTGCAAATCAAAGGATAGTTGCCATCAGTACCTAGATTTGAAGAAGGAACAGCCAAATTTAAGTTGGTCTCAAAGAGCATGTAAGTCTGGTGAATATTGCAAGTGGTAAGATTCAACTGATAGAAAGTTATTTTCATCACCAGGAATATTTGTGAAAGATATATTGAAACAGTTATGGTGGAGATGGTTTTTTTTATGTTTTAGTATTATTTTGGGTTACTTGAGCATGATTTAAGTTTAAAGAGAACTTAACTCATTCATAGATAGAGCTCCGCATCTCAAACAATGAGCTACGCAGTTGCTGTAACTTAGAGCTCCTCATGTGGCCTTGACAATGCGCATCAAAAGCATTAATAGGGACACCATCCATGCGCAACATGGAATTGTTAATACTCTGATATTTAACAACTGTTGATGGAATCAGCCTCTGCAAGAACTACTACAGAGTTTGAGAAACTTTACTGCCAGCCAGCCTCAGAACCATTTAACCGAGTTTTAGAGCTGTACCCTCATTTGGAGATAACATGAAGAGTTGCAGAGCCACTATCAAGGAGGCACAATTAATAATCTATAAGCAGATTCAAAAAAATCCAGCATTCAGCATCAAAGCAGGAAACAATGTAAGACAGGTTTGCATCTACATCAGCCTAATAGATAAAGAAGGGTTCAAGGCTGGTCAGCAGACTTATTCTGCTCTCCCCTAAACTCTTTGCCTAGGAGGCTTTCTACAAGACAGTGACTGGGTGCAATTAATATCTGCCCAAGATGAGTATCTTTATCTAGACACTATCTCTACCTGTTACACAACACTAAGAGCCCCATAGTAGGAAAATCTTAGCTGGATGCAGTTAACATATACCCAGCACTTTTTTGTTTGGTTTACAGTTTTTTTGTTTTGCATCAGTTTGATAAAAGTTACATATTTTTATTGTTGCAGTTGCAATTATATTTAATTGAAATTTTTGTTATTAATTTTAGTATGATGATTGCGTACATTAAAAAAAGATTTTATTTTTGACATACACCTGCAACTGTATGTATTTTTATTGTGTTTCTGTTTAAAATTTTTATGGAACTTGCGTTTTTTAGACAAATGTTTATTGATCAAGGTTCAAAAATTTTCTTCTGTAAACATTTACTGAAAGGGGGTTTGAATTAAATGGTTGCATTTATTTGCATTTTTATTAGAGTTTTGTTAATTTATGAGATTTTAAATGGGATAAACATAGTAGTAATTTGCCTAAAGTTTTTAATGGAAGAACTTTTTTATGTTGTGGTTAAAGTAACCATTAATGTTTCATGCTATAGATCAATGAGGTCAATAATATGGAAAAGTATATAAAAGGTATATAATTTAGACAAATAATTTAAAACTGACATGGTATTTTATTTGTTATTTCAATACACTATAATCATAAATGATAAAGGTTTGCATGAGAATAAATATTCTCTCTTGTGATAATTAAATAGCAATCACAATATTAAACAGCTTTATTCATTAATCTTAAAACATTACAAATTATTTACAAAGTTTTGAGAGTTCTGGATGTGACTGTTGATGAGAATGACTGTTAACTAATGGTGGTTAATGCATTGCTAAAATTTTTTGAAGAAAAATAATTATGTGAATTATGCAACAGATTAATAGTTAATGATGAGGTGGAATCTAATAGGTAAAAAAATACTAGATATAATTAGTAAAAATCTTTAGGCAAAAAATAATTAATGCAAAAAATAATTATAAATTATTAGAGAATTAGAAATTTCTTTCAATTTGTGCCTTTTCAATTCTTTGATAAATTTTAGTCTGTTAATGTAAACTAACTGCGCTAAGAAGTGTAACTACCAGCTCTATCTTAAATTCTATTGCTAAATTCTTTTAAAAAAATAATGTTAATTTAATAAATAATTTTTTTATTTATCATTAAAAAGTAACAAATCTAGTTTTGCTGTTTCTTTATTTTAATTTCTATTTTTTTATTAACTGACCAATCATAACAATTTAATGAAATTGTAAAAAAAATTTGCTATGCATGCGTATTGTACTAGAGTACACTACTAAAGTTTCTAATGAACTTATTTGACTATTGTTTTGAAAAAAGTTTCAACTTTACAAAATCAGGTTAGACAATTCTTGTTTAGTTAAAAAGAGTCTATGGAGTGACACCTAAATGAAATGAACAAAATAAAAAACTAAAAATTAAATTAACTTTAAACAAAATTAAAAAATTACAGCTCAATTATATTTGTTCATTATCTAAAAGTCATTAATGAATAATAATTTTACTGTCTAATTAACCAGTGGATTCTATATAAAACTCTCATCTGATTGAGTGCATTTAGAGTTCTCATTGAAATTTATGATACCAAAGTTTTATTAGCGATTCAAGGCAATACTTTATAAAAGTTGTTTAGTTACAATCCAGAGGCATGAACTTCCTGGTTAAATGCACTTCCACGGTGTTCTGACGGTGCACTTCCGTGGTGCAGTGACAAGACCGTTAGGACTTCTTGGGGCACCTAAATATATATATATATATATATATATATATATATATATATATATATATATATATATATATATATATATATAATATATATAAATATATATATATATATATAAATATATATATATATATATATATATATAATATATATATTTATATATATTATATATATGTTGTTTAAGACATTTGTTTTATTTAAAGTGGTTTGAAGATGATAAAAGTAAAAAAATCAACAAAATATTGGGAAAATTATATATTTATGATAAAACTTAAATTTTTAAGCTGAAAATTACCTGACTAAGCATTAAATGCAAATAAAAAGATAATTGGTTCTCAATATCAAATGGTCAAAGACATAAGAAAAATGCCTAGCTGAACCTAAATTCAAAAGTTTTTCAAAAATGACCCACCCTAATATATATATATATATATATATATATATATATATATATATATATATATATATATATATATATATATATATATATATATATATATATATATATATATATATATATATATATATATATATATATATATATATATATATATATATATGTATATATATATGTATATTTATATATATATATATATATATATATATATATATATATATATATATATCTATATATATATGTATATATATATATATATATATATATATATATATATATATATATATATATATATATATATATATATATATATATATATATTTGACTGTTTTTGACGATTGGATAGTGCTTAAATGAAGCTAACAAAAAATCTTGATATTTCTGAATCCATAACAGATTAAGAAATATAAATCAAACAAATATCTATGTATGTTTTATATGATTTTCTTACACACATTTTATAATAAAACATTTGTTCGACATCCAGAATTGTTTAAGCTGTATACTCACAGAATCATTTAAACTATATTGTACATTACAACCAATGTCATTAAAACACACGATACAAACAAAAGAAACATAATGTTTTACAGAATGCAATTATTTGTTACAAACGTTTAGTTTCAATTTTAGGTTCAACTGTTAGGAACAATGAAAAGTACATTAGATGTTCTTGATAAATTTACACCAGAGCAGCTGTCAGCTTTTGCTAACATGGTGTTTTTTATGACAGCTATGCTAACTGGCGATTTAAAATCTGGATCGGTATGAACATTAATAACTTTTTTATTAAAATGTTTAAAAATTTTCATTTTATAACTTGCAATTGTTAATTTAAAATTGCAATCTTGCTGCTGTTTTTTTTTTTTTTTTTTCATGTTGCCATGGCACTGCTGTTAATAATTTTATGAAAATATTATTATTATTTAAAACATTAACTGAGAGAACTATGATGGCTTTTTTTTTCTAATTAATTTAATTAAAACAAAATTAAAAATAGTTTTTGCAATAGCAGAGAAAAGCTCACCTAAAACGAACATGGCAGGCCATGCAAGCTAATCCTCTAAACAGCTTCTTACAAAAGCTTTGTTTTTTGCGTGATCTATCTGTTTATTCATTAAAAAAAAGTATTCATAATATAAAGTATTTAATAATAATTTAATAAAAATATCATGTCATCAAAATTAAAAACAATAATAAACATATAAATTCTATATATTCTATTAAATTATATATATTTCAGCAAAACTTAAAAATTATTTTCAAAACTTTTAAAAGTATTTTTAATATGCAAATAAACACTATTTCACTTTAAGAAAAATAACAAAATAAAAAAAAGACTATAGAAAAAAGCAATCGTAATGTTTAAGCACAGTTTCTTTTAAAGTAATTGCAAACTCATTCATTTTAGGTAAATTTTTGCATGCTTTTGTTAAGGCATGTAAAAACCATGTTAAATAATAATTACTTTCTTTGAAAGCTTTGTTATTTTACTTAATAGTAACGCTATTGAGGGAAGTGCTCATGTTTTGGAATGGTTTCACGGTTAGCGCAGATCCTTATAATGCCTACATAGCTGTCCCAAGAACACCACTTATACGGTAAAGTTAGCGTACACATCAAGGTACCCTGTGATGCAAATTCTGTAATCATTTAATTTTGTCCGCGGAAAATAATTTAATTTGAATGTTCAAATTAAGTCATATTTTGACTTCATAGTACGCCAATAAAAACACTTGTAGAACTTGAACCACTCAATATAATTTGATAAAAATTGGTGCATATGTAGCCAATAGTCACACCAAATTCTGGACAAAATTTCAGCCTGATTGGATGACTGGTGTAGGATTTATTGCAGTTTTAGTTAAAGTTTTGTCAGTTTTTTGCTACTTATACCTCCAAGCGTTACCGATTACTTTGAACTGGTCACTATTTTTAAAATAACTGGTCACTATTTTTAAAAATAACGGTTCTACTATGTAATAACAACAATTTTTGTGATAATTATTTTATCATAACATGTACAGTTTTCATTTTATAAACCAAAATAGTGATTAGCTACTTAAAGCGTGATTTAAATATGTTCTTATGCTAATAGTGGCTACACGGCCTTCAAAGTGAAGGGGGTCAACCCCTCAATTTCTAAAAAAAATCTATAATTTCTAAAATAATTGCCTATATTTCTAAAACAAAAGGTCATCGCAAAAAAAAAGTAGAGAAGGACATGACCTCTAGCCTCTCCGGCATTGAAGACCATGTATGCTTCGCTTAAATATACCAACATTTCCTAAGGTATAAACTGCTGCCAAAAAAAAAACCTAAAAAAAAGTACAAAAACTGGTCAAAAGACTACCAGTTAGTAAAACAAAAAAAAAAGTAATCTCCTAAAATATTTTGTATTGACTTCCTTAAATACATTTACTTTTAAAATGAAGTGAAAACTATTTAAACCCTATTTTTTACATTGTATTACCATCAAATATCTAATTACATATTAAAAAATGTTTTTTTGATTTTCTCCACCAAAGGATTATTAATAAATAGCTTAATGTACTCTTTTAATACAAATACACTATAATGCTACTTTTAAAGATGGTGAAAATATTCATTATACGCCGTAAAATATGAATTTCAGCAGCCTAATTTCTTATAACTCAAATAATGTTCTTTAAAGATGCTTACTGTTACAATCTTTGTTCGTACTCTGGATGATTATTATTTTGCTTATACCTCGACCAATGTTGACAAAAATCTTGATGAGAAGTTTCGACAGTTTGTTCACTAATAGGGCCCCAAGGGGGATCCTTTGTGACTGATGAAATCCTTGATATGGTAGAAGACGGCATGAATTTTGGATGTTACGCTTGCACCAGTTATCATTAGGTAATACTTTTTGAAATTTTCAATTTTTTCAACAAAATCCGGCTGAAGGCTGTATCCAAAGCAAGCCTTGACAACTAAATTGAAGCTTTTGAATGCTTCAATTGTGCACACAATATTGGGAACTATGTTTGTCTCAGCAAGTTGCTGCAGCATATCCACATTTTTAAGAAGCTTCCTGTAATTTGGGCTCAGTTGAATGTAGAGGGCAGCTGGCCACTTAACAGCTTCTATCCAAGCAGTTTTTGAAAAGATGGTTGACAACTCTTAAGAGGAAATCCAATTCCATCGGTGGAATGATTTCCAAAATCAGAACATTGACAGGCCAGCAGATGATTGGCTTTCGAATGACATTGCCAAACAGCTTTGCATTAGCAAAGGTTGCTAAAAAGACTCAAGGCTTGAATTAATTGAGCCCAGTGTTTGTAAGTTTCTAGATTTGGCAAGACAATTGGATTTGACATCACACCATATGCAAGGGTGCGTATTTGAATGAGTTTGAAAACCACAAAATATATTTGCAACTTTCATATCACAAGCCAAAATTAGTTTAACTCCATTTGCATCAATCAGTCACCAGATTTGTTCAATATTGGAGTGTGTTTCTGGCAAATCTTCTGAAACCCCAACAATACTTTGTCTCTTGACACCAGTGTCTTTACCAGTCCTTTGAGTGAGAGGTTGTTGTTGGTGGGGTGAGCTGGTTTCATCCCTTAACGCAGTATCAACAATGCTTAGGCAAAACTTGAGAAATCCTTTGCCACCATCAGTTCCGAGCTTAACAAAATAGGCACCAGAAATTTACCACATGATGGTGTCTACGCACTACTCTGACCTAAAACCAAAACATACATATTTTATAGTTACTATAAACTTTATTTAGTAAGTTTGTGTAAAACTTTCAAATTATTCGTTTTTAAAGAAATTAGAAACTTGTCAAAAATATACTTCTTGAAATCTATCTAGTGTTATTTCTTAATAGTCAAGACTTTATTTCAATATATATTTTAAAATTATTTAAGTATAAATATTTACCAGGGGTAACTGTAAGTGGAGCCCTGTCGGATGCTTTAGCCAGTAGAATAGTTCCTTCCGGAGATAATTCTTTATTGGAAATAACTTGAGATGCAATTTGTTCGAATGATTTGGCATCTTTTGCTGCTAAAGATTGAATGTTTTCCCTTAACATTATTTGAGAGTATTGGTGAGGCAAACCTTTTCCTAGAGGGCTGAGGCATTTGCTGCAACGCACCTTTGGCTTTTTCTCAATAGTGGTTTGTTATATAAGAGGATGTTTTTCTTGCAACTTTGAACGACCAATTTGCCATATTAGGCAACAACACATCGTTCCTCTTGGTTCAGGTCTCACTTGTATTGACTTAAAATCAAGCAGAGGAGGGAGTGCAACTTCTTTCCCCTTTTGTTTCCTGCGCAAAGTAATTCTACACAATTTGCAGAATCCATTTGGTACGCGAGTATCACTGATATTGATCTTGGTCTTGTACAGTTGGAATATTCGATCTGCTTAAAAAGTAGTAAGCTGTCTTGAATATTTTTTTAGGCAGAGCAAGTACACAAACTTTCGATTTTTATCATGATTCTTTGCTTGATTTGGCATCGTGGCAATTCACTAAATTTGACTTCACTAAATAAAACTCTGCCTTTTACAAAATTTGACCTAAATTTATATTCGATAACAATTCACTTAACATAGTAACACATATTATTAATTAAAAACTATTAAAATAAAGGAAATATTTACTTGATTTAATTGAGGTAATATTAAATTACTAGGAAATAATTCTTGAATAGCTCTTTCCTTACCAGGAAACAATTGTTTAAACTATTTACTTGTAAGGAAATTACATTATTGATAATTTCACACTTATTAAACTAATGATACTTGTCACACGGGTTGTTTTATTTCAAAACAACCCTTCAACCTAATTAGTTATTCAGTTAGAGTAATTTCCTCCGACTGGACCTCCAAACTTTGTATTGGTCAGGTATCTTAGTTAACTTATCTAAATTTTTTAAGTCAATTATCTTTGTTCTTTTTTCACAGTTGTTCTGTTTTCAGATAAATAAATATTTTTAATTTCTAAGTAGGTATCCCTAGAAATTCTTCTCAAGCATTTTTTTAGAATTTTTTTGCATTCTGGCAGTAGTTTATACCTTAAGAAATGTTGGTATATTCAAGCGAAGCATACATGGCCGTCAAGGGAGCCATTGCCTGCTCACTTTTTTTTTGCTAGGATTTTTGTTTTAGAAATAATGGCAATTATTTTAGAAATTATGAATTTTATTTTAGAAATTGAGGGGTTGACCCCTCCACTTTGAAGGCCGTGTAGCCACTGGCATTAGCCAATTTAAATCACACTTTAAGTAGCAAACTACTATTTTGGTCTATAAAATGAAAACTGTACATGTACCGATAAAATAATTATAACAAAAATTGTTGTTATTACATAGTAGAACACTCATGTAACCATTGTTTTAAGAATAGTGACCGAATTTCAAAGTAATCGATAACGCTTTGAGGTATAAGTAGCAAAAAACTGACAAAACTTCAACTAAAACTGCAATAAATTCTACACCAGTCATCCAATCAGGCTGAAATTTTGTCCAGAGTTTGATGTGACTATTGGCTACATTTGCACCAATTTTTATCAAATTATATTGAGTGGTTCAAATTCTACAAGCGTTTTTATTGGCGTACTATGAAGTAAAAATATGACTTACTTTGAACATTCAAATTAAATTATTTTCCGCGGACAAAATTATATGATTACAAAATTTGCATTACAGGGTACCTTGATGTGTCGCTAACTTTCCTGTGTAAGTGGTGTTCTTGGGACAGCTAGGTAGGCATTATAAGGATCCAT